TTAATCTATGTTTAAAATTTATTGCCATATCTGTATTGGTAATCTGTGTGAATTTAGCTAGAGCTTCTCTATCTTGGGCTATTATTCTCACATCCCGGTGCTCATAGAGATCAGCCCACGTGTCAATAACTTTATTAGGCATTGCCTTGATCATTCTTTCCGTAATTGTGTTACCAATAAATATCTTGATAAATATTACACCGAATAGCCATGTTATTATAATTGTTTTAAATTTATGTTGTTTGATCCAGGCACATGGGAAATATATTGCGTATATCAAGTAAGTTAAGTTTAAAAAATTTAGACATAATAATTGTACTATGTCAGATAATTTTTTTTCATAACAATTAACTATTGTTAATAATAATGTAAATAATAGTACATATAATAAGACATTCATAGCAAACTTTCTATCAAGTAAATTTAAATACACGAAAATATCTTTACGACCAAGGTAACGTTTATATGCAATGTGGCTAGTGGATCCGTAGTCGATCATGGTCGTTTTATTGTAGTAATGATTTTAAAAAATCAACTGTTTAACATACAAATCATATGTTTCTTGATCGAAAAGCCATAGAAGTATATCTGGTGGCGAATCGATAAAGATATTTTCTAATCCGGAATCACCAGTGTCTATCCTGGATTGCAACCTTGACAATAAATATAATATATTAAAATTAAAAACTAATTTAATTATCAATAGGTATTATTTTTAATACAATGCTCATACAACATATTCAATTTACCTTATGTTCATTTTGATAGAAAATAATTTTAACAGGTTCATTAACGGTCCACATACTCTGTGCCATTGGCGCCCTGTTTCATTAGTTATATGAATTGAACAAAATGTTGGACTATTAATGGGGAAAAAAGATACTATGTCCCTGGGGGTATTCTTTACAGTATGGTTAGTTGGTGTCCATGTAAAATTTAATACTTCATAGAAATCAATACAATTTTTATCAGATACTGCCATAATGTTGCATGACATAAAATAAATTATTATAAAACATACATATTTATTTGAGTACATTTTATATGCGCTTTGTGAATTAATAAGTAGTTACTTCAAAATATTTTTTAGCTAGATAAATGCTTCTTTGATAATTACCACTTATATAAGTTTGCAATACACTAATAAAATAAAAATATACTGTGTAATTTGACATAGTTACTAGGCGTATAAAAAACTATGATAGTTTTTGTTGTATATTTATAGAAATTTATTTTAATACGAACCTAGTTTGTATACACCTAGTAACTATGTCCAACTATACAGTAGTTAATTGTATTTTGTTTATAATATTACATTACAGTAAAAATAACTACTGTATAATTTGACATAGTTACTAGGAAATAAAAAATTGTTTCTTATTAAAATAAATTAAAATATAAATAAACAACAAAAGATATCATAGTTTGTATACGCCTAGTAACTATGTCCAACTATACAGTAGTTAATTTTATTTTGTTTATAATATTACATTATTCATTGTTGTATAAACTATATATCTAAGTTTAATAAATTAATATTGATTCCACAATCATATGAATGAAAACATGAAATAGTAGCTTATTTCTGAAACTAAGTAATGCATTGGTTTTCACATTTAACATACAGTATAATTTTATACTTGATATATATTAAATATGTTTTATTTTAATAATACAATTTATATACTAATTACAATTGCATCCATTTTAACCATTTATAAATTTTAAACAAATTATAATTAAAACTACACTATTGTTTGCATTAACTCAACAAACTAATGACTAAACTCTTTTGCAAATTATATGTTAAATGTGAAAACCAATGCATTACTCAGAAATAAGCTACTATTTGATGTTTTCATTCATATAATCTACTTGATGGATAAATGTTACAAATTAATAATTATAATAAATTGAGTCCAAAGTGGTGTCCATTTCAATGAACTCTCTTCACAACCCTCAACAACACCTCTTTCGGTACGATTACTCCTAAATTATAATACCTTTCCGGTGGTTCCTGTGGACGGGTGTCAAATCAATTAGTCATTCATTATTGGCAAATAATTTCATTAATAAGACTTACAGCAGTTTTACCGCAGATTTCAAACTTAAAGTTATAGACAGAGTATAGTAGAGCCAACTTTGCCTCCATTAGGGCCAGTCGTTTAGCCACACAATTGCGAGGACCGGCCCCGAAGGGTAGGTGCGCGTAGGGATGGTGTGCTATATTTGATGGCAAAAATCTTTGCGGTTTGAAGGCATAGGGATCGTCGAAATACTGGCGGTCCATATGTAGCACATAAATGGGTACTTGAAATA